TGCAGAAGATCAGCGCCCTGGAGAATGAGCTGGCCACTTTAAGAGCACAGATAGCCAAAATCGTGAGCCTGCAAGAACAGCAGAACCTGACAGCAGGTACTGAACTTGCTGTAGTCTGAGCAAAACTTAGTTCATTAATTTGTTCCTTTCGTAATCAGTAACCGGCTAATTTGTTTTTGCGAGATCCTGAGACGCTGTTTGGTTGGTTTGGTAGCACACAAACCACGGGGTCCAGGAGAGGGCTTGAAGGTGAGAGGGACCTGCCAGACTCTCAAGCATTCCAAAATTCTTCACATTTGTGTAAAAATCTGCCAGAATTCTGCATCTCTGCGTGAGTAAAGCAGCATTAAGCAGCTTTCAGAGCAAAGCTCACAGCAAACACCATGGCTTCAACCAGACTAGAAGAATGAGACAATCATTAACACTTCCCTCTTCCCATCCAGCACTGAAATGGGGAATCCACCAGGAGCTAAATATTCCTTAACTGTTCATATGCAAAAGTGTCAAACAGATTTAAGGGTCCCGTGGTTTCACTCTTGAATTTAATTATTGTGGGGAGTTTATGAAGTAACTAATAATTTACTTTTCATCATTTTACTCTTGACTTGTATTAGGAAAACTCAATTTTGGGTTGATTTTACCACCTTTACCTCCCTCTCCTGGTCGAACGTGGCAATGGCACCGTGTGTGCCACACACCCAGCTGCTGTACTACCTAGTTATGTGTCTTCACATGCTGTAGACTCCAAGCCTCAGACCTCAGCTTTGATCCAGTTTTCACAATTTCTTTAAAGGTTCACTTGAGCTGAGGCACCTTCATTTCATGGTCAGGTTATTCCGCCTGTTAACCATTTTTACCTAGAGGACAGGGAACTTGGAGATGATCATGAGAATTAGCTGGCCTAAGCCCCTTAACCTCAGAATGCTGCAGTAAGCTTCAATTTAAGCACTGTTGGAGCTCTGAAACTTACATTTTAAAATCTCGTGGTAATTTCTCACGAGTGATGCTGCAGGAACACCCCTAACACAGCAGAACATACATGGCTTCCAGCCCAGGAGCTGCCTCTTGGGGTAGAGTGAATACTGGTGACACTGGGAGCAGCACATCCCATAGCAGTGAAGACCTGAACACGCCTAGAATTTGAAGTGGAAATTCAAAGACCTTGTCTCAGTTTTCTAAAAGGACTCTTTTGAGGCTTTTCAGTTGAGCCTGCTTAGATTGTTTAGCAATTAAGAAGTGGTCACATGAAGGTGGCAGAGGGGAGGTCATTGAACCTTTATCATTGAAGTTCTTCTAGTTGTACTCCTGGCTGAATGTTTGTGAGAGGTGGAGGGGACTTAGAGCTGAACTGATATGTAATGCCTGTTTTATTTGTAGTTGGGCCAAGTCCAGCTTCTTCAGCTGCTGTCCCTGTTGCACCTCCACCACCACCACCTCCTCCTCCTCCACCACCACCACCACTGCCTCCTGTGGGTCTCCAGCAAAGTACGTCTGCCATCGAGCTCATTAAAGAAAGGAAAAACAAAAAAATGAACTCTGGACAGAACCTGGCAGACAACGGGCCAAAGAAACCTGAAATGCCAAATATGCTAGAAATTCTCAAAGACATGAGCAGTGTTAAACTGCGCTCAGTGAAAAGGTAATACATCTAAACAAATACCAGTGGTTGGGATTTGTTTGTCATCATAGAGTCATTTTGGTTGGAGAAGACCTTTAAGGTCACCGAGTCCAACTATTAACCTAACTCTGCCAAGTCCACTGCTGAGCCACGTCCCTCAGCACCACATCTCCACGGCTGGGAAACCCCTCCAGGGAAGGGCACTGCATGCCCTGGGCAGCCTGGGACAGGCCCTGGAAGAGCTTTGTGGGGAATAAGTGTTTCCTCGTGTCCAACCTAAACCTCCCCTGGCACAACTTGAGGCCATTTCCTCTTGTCCTGTTGCTTGTTCCCTGACAGAAGAGACCGCCTCCCACCTAGCTCCAGCCTCAGAACTACGGCAGGGTGAGATGGACGCTGATGGAACACCTGACAAACGAGCAGAAGCACTCACAACTCCTACAGCTTTGTTTTGGGCTACGCTAATGCCCCTCGTTTCCTTTTCCAGGTCAGCAGAAGGCACCAGACCGAAGGCGGCCGACCCCGCGGACCCCGCGGCGCTGATCGCGCAGGCGCTGCGGAAGAAGTTTGCCTATCGCTACCGGGGCGAGGGGCCGGGCGAGGCGGAGCAGGGGGCTGCAGGGGGCGAGGGCCTGCTGGTGAGTACTGCCCCCTGAGCCCACGCCTGCCCTCACACCCGCTTCGGGCAGCCCAGCCTGGCCCAGCGAGCGTGGATCGGTTTGGTTAGGAAGCCATTTTGGAAGCCCTGTGCTGTAGAACCAGTGGAGAGTTATTTTTCCCTTTCTGCACTGGAAAAACACAGGTAAAATTCCCCAAAAATGGCTACACTCTGACTTAAGTTCTGAGGAAGATAAGAGTCCCAAACCACAAATCTTGGGACCTCCGAGTGCTTTGGCTCGTTGATGTTAATTCACCTGCCTGCTGGTTTAGGCCCTGAAGGTCCATTCCTGTAACACTTGGGCTGTTCCTCATGATAGAAACACCCCAAGAATCACTAGATATGCCCCAAGAATCAGTCACTTTTTCCTCCCATCATCTCTGGGGCTTAAGGGCAAAGAAGTGAGCTAGCAACATTTTGATAAAGGAAAGGCGCTCTGCCCAAGCTGTAGTTTGACTTAGAGCTTGGATGGAGGATCACTCCAGGGGTCTCTGCTGAGAGCAAGCTGAACCTGTGTCTGGTTTCCTCTTCAGTTTGGACCACATATGCTGAAATCTACAGGAAAAATGAAGACTTTAATTGAAAACACTTAACTCAAGATCACTACGGGCAGACCGCTCAGCTGACTTGTCTGAACCCTCCACGTGGCAGCACTGAGAGGTCCTTCCACCCGAGGAACAACCCAGCGTGAGACGGAGAACTGAGGCACTAAACCTGGTTGTGTGTGATATACAAGGGGAATAAATTTGACCATTTTACTCAGGTATTGATGTTCTACTCGAACCTGACTTTCTCCTCAGACGTACGTGGTGCGTTCAGTGTATTAACACTAAGTTCTGTACACGCGGCGTTCCTGGTGCGCAACTGACCCCTCCAAGAACTCGTGTACATCTTAGCAGGGACACACCCCCTTCAGTTAATACCAGTTACTTGAGCTCCCACTAACTTGCACTACAATGTTTATTTTCATACTGACTTTTATACATCAAGGTCTTAAGCTCCTAAACTTAATTTTAGCAAATTTTTAGCCCAAAGAGAGCCTGAATGTGTTCTGCTTCCTACTGGAAACTTTCATCTGCTGCAGGAGTCACCTGGCATGAGATTTTTTAGTAGTAGCACATTTTTGTGCAGGGCTTGGGGTTTTTGTGTTTCAAGGGCAAAACCAATTTGTATCTTCCTGTGGCCAACGTGAAGGGTGCAGGACAAGCGAGGAACTCCTGCTGTGGGAGCTTCTGAAGTCCAGTGAATTTGAACTAACCAGTTGATAGCAGCAGAGTAAAATAATGTCAAGAGTAGGTGTTAAGTAGCATTGAAGTGATGTAGATCAAAAAAAAAAGGTCCAATGTACTGTGGAGTGCAAGTTGCCAAAAGCTCATCTCTGCAAAGGGATGCAGGGACACTTTGATCCCTGGCTATCTTGGGTCCCTGGAGAGGTTTCCAGCAGCTGGGTCCCACGTGCTGGGAGGAGATGGTGCAAGCTGGTGCCCAGAACCTGTTCTCCTTTTCAGGGATCTCCCACAGCAGCTATTTGCTGCCAGGCCAGAGCTAGTTCCTCAACCTGCCACAGGTGTAGGAAGGGCTCAAGCTAAAAAGAAAAAAAGCAGCTGTTTAGGAACCAGAGTGCAACAAGGCAGCTGCACGCTGTGAGGAGACCAGGGTTTGCTCAGACTACAGGCGGGGGTAGAAAAAGCCAAGGTTGGGCATTTCAGCATTCTGAGTTAATCTGGCTGCTGGAACAAGCACAAGTGCCTCTCAGAGCTTCTGTTTTCTATGAAAAAGGGAAAAAAAAGCCACACTTGTTCAGTACAGCCAGCCGAGCTGCTCTGACAAGGTCACTGGAGGTGGCCGAAGCTGCTTTGGCGGAACTGGTCTCATACAGCCCAGGACGTTTCCTGGTGTGACCCTTCACCTGCCGCTCAGGCGTGGCCTCTGCCGTCTGTTAAACACCTTCAGAACACCTTTCTGAAAGATAACTTTGGTCTCCAGTTTTGTATTTAATGCTCTATTGCCACTATCTACAATTAAAAGCAGTTAAAATATCCATTGCATACGTGGTTTGTGTGGTGCTCTGTGAACGATAGCGGCCACCAGCAAATACAGTTTACATTCTGTTGTCACTGCCTGAATTTACAGTTGCTACAACTTGTTTGAGTCTCCTTCAGGACTGGACCACTTCCCACACTGTGCAACAGCAGAACTACTTGTGGAACAGCAGAGTGCTGTGAATTCAGATTGAAAAATTAAAAATCAAGAACAAGGGAGGCATTTGCAGCTCACCACAACAGAACAGGGGGTACTCGTGTGAGGGTCTCTCCATCCCTGGTTCACAGGGTGTCCCAGACAGGCCCTGGCGTGACAAAACCAGCCCTGTCCTCAAAGGCTACAGCTGGCCCAGGACACCTGCTGAAGTTTCCAGAGACAGAACCTCTGCTGAAAGCGTTTCAGCTTCTTTTACTGTCAGGCCAATTAAATCATTAACTTGTAAAGTTTAGGCTGTCACTTGAGCTATTAAGCTAGGTTAAACCATGAGAGCTCACCCCAAGCACTGTCCCACCTTTGCATCCAGCACCCCAGAAACCCAAGCAGGGAGGTCTGCTCTGGGCACACTGATGCTCTCGGCTCTCACGTGGAAGGTTTTACTGTAAAAGTCACATTTCAAGTGAAGTGATTCAGGCCCATTAAATCATTAACTTGTAAAGTTTAGGCTGTCACTTGAGCTATTAAGCTAGGTTAAACCATGAGAGCCCACCCCAAGCACTGTCCCACCTTTGCATCCAGCACCCCAGAAACCCAAGCAGGGAGGTCTGCTCTGGGCACACTGATGCTCTCGGCTCTCACGTGGAAGGTCTAGGCTGTAGGGATGTTGAAGTTCAATGTGGAGTGGTAGGAGGTGTTTCTAGGCAGCATGTTCAAGAAAACACATTAATTTGGGTTTTTTTGAGGCTTTAGTGGCTTTCAAATTCAGGCAGAAGCTTCCATGTACACTAATAGATGGGACCAGAACCAGACTTTCTAAATCTTGCCTAGTAGGGCAAGAGAGAAGCCCCTTTCCAGGGAAGGTGGCTTAGAGCAAACAGCCCCATTCCCCTCCGGCATGCTGAGACAAGCTGTGCTGCTGTCTGTCTGAGCACGACGCTAAAGAGCCACACGTTGGCCATGAATATTACACTGAAATATTGCTACATGCAGATTTGTAAATGCATCTGGTTTAGTTTTGATTAAAATACACTCAGAAATAGCCTGGAACAAGGAACAAAACTCCTATTGCTGCTGAGGCCCCGTCTTTAAATCAAGTCCTGTTTTTAAACTAGAGTGGCAGAAGACATGGTCAGCTGGTTTTAGTGGCTGGTTTGAAAACAGCTGCAGGTTCAACAGATGTTCTACTGAAGAAGGTCAAAGAAGAGGTGGTCCTTTTCCACGCTTAACCCTAGAAATCCATGGGGAAGCTCAGCTGCAGCCTGTCTGTGGTGAGTTCCTCTCACACGGCCACAAGCCCTCTCCTGACAGCTCCAGGCACCGCTGGCATCTGCCGCCACGGGGGACCTGTTAAATCATGGAGTCTGGGTTAGGACCGAAGCTCATCATCCCCTTTGGTCCTTCTCCATTCAAGTCTGACAGCAGCAAGACCTTGTGCTGACAGCAAAGGAAGGAAGTTCACGCAGCTTCCAAAGAACTGGTTTGGATATAAATTTATTTCTTTCAACATGGCCACGTGGAGATTCATGATACTACTGCAGGGAACATGAAAGAATAATAAACAACTCGATTTTAGAAGGGAAACAATCAGCTAAGTCAGGATTTGCTTTTCAAACAGTAGAAGGCCAAGCTCTGGGAGGCCAGGAATTTTGGCATGTGAGGACTAAGTGGTGTTTCCAAATCCAAAAGCTGGTATAGTTTCATGGTGGAAGGTGGCTCGGCCTCGGCTGCTTCCCGGAACACCGGGCTCGCTCGGAACTTCAACGTACAGGAGCGTAATGTGGAAAGATTTTTTTTATTATTATTAATTAAAAGTTAACAGCAACAGGCACATATTAAAATGAATATGGCAAAGCCTTTACAAATGGCTTTACGCTGAAGCTCTCTCCCAAAAATGGCTGTTGCAACGAACTGTAAACAGAATTAATAAACAGTCTTTTACAATAATAACCGGGAAATACAAATGAACTGAAAGAAAGCACCAGTTTCTCAAACTAGGTTACAGTTGTGCTTACCGTACTTAAAACAAGGTAAAACAAATTACAAAAATGGAATGTTTTAAGTGTAAAATTAGTCCTTTAATTTTGTCCTAAAAAACATTTTCTCCTTTTCCCATCAAAAACCCATTCGTGGGTAAGGTTTCAGTAGAGGGAGGAATACGTAAACAATGCACTTTGTTGGGTTTTTTGTTTTTTATTATCGTCATCTTTCAAATCAAAAACAAATTTGGTCACGTAGCTTTGTGCATAGTTTAAGGCATCTGTAGCAATTTTGTTACAGCTTCCTCCCCAGTGTGGCTGTTCATTGAAATTTGTCACATTCAAAAAGAATAAATTAAAACCAAAAAAAATAATAATAATTAAAAAAA